TGACATCGATCGACTATCTTTTTTTTTTTTTGTTAGGCCTGTATAGGTTGTCTCCCTAAATAAATTTGGGTCAAGGTAGATGCATGCATACCGGGTAGATTACAGTCTGTTCGGAAATCACTTTTGTGCAGGTGCTCGAGTATGGGTTGGATCTTCCTCGTGCATGGTCCACACGCAATCGACATCTGATGCATGGGAATATTGCCTCTTTCTTTCCTTCTACCCATCGAATGGTTGTCTAACTTGTGCTGAGTGTACAAGCATCGTCTCTTCATAAGAACAACAACAGTGGATATCATGTATGTGTAACCAGATGGCATGAATTCTGTTGGAACAGATCACGTGCACGCACGTGTACGGATGACCACCAGAACGGTAGTCATCACGTATACACGCGTCTGCACGATCTGTCCCTGATTTTATTGTACACCAGAATGAATGCGTTAAGTCCTCTTGCAAAACATGTAATCAGCAGTGTCGTACCACCGTTCACCGTTCACGGGGGGTGTGAACGGAGGCCGGCCACCGTTCACGGAAAACATAAACGCCAGTAGTTCACGGAGTTCATGCTGAGAAGGAACTCAATTTTTTTTTATTTTTTTCGCCTGGTAGGGGTGCTTTTTTTTTTATAGATATGTGGGGACTGTAAAGGGGCACCTGCCCATTTTTTTATTTATTTTTTTTCGATCGAAATTTTTTTTTTAACATTTTTGAAAAAAAAAAAAAAAAAAAAAAAAAAAGGCCTACTACGGCCGTGAGATTTTCAGATCAGGTGGCAACGAGCCACGTTGAGTGGAGGAGGGCTCAGGAGACTCTGAGCCCTTGCGCGAGATAGAGAGTGAGACTCTCAGCGGTTGCGCGCGCGCGCGCGCGAGAGAGAGAGAGAGAGAGAGAGAGAGAGAGAGAGAGAGAGAGAGAGAGAGAGAGAGAGAGGGGTGTGTGTGTGCGCGCGCGCGCGCCGGGGAGTGGAGGGAGGGCCCCTCCCCCACCAACCAATCAATCAATCAATCAATCAATCAATCAATCAATCAACCAATCAATCAATCAATCAATCAACCAACCCCCAAATATTTTTTTTTTAAAACACAAATATCCTTTTTTTTTTTCTTTTTTTCTTCTTCTTTTTTTTTTTCCTGATTTGAAGGTACGGGGTCCTAGCTGGACCCCGCGCGACCCCGATCGCACCTCGACGCCGACCACCCGGGCTGCCTCGTGGCCACCAGGGCCTTGAACGGCCCCTGTGAACGGTCGTTCACAGGAATCGGACCCGGTGAACGACCGGTCACGTTCAGATGGCCGGACCCGTTCACGTTCACGGGTCCGGCACTAGACATCAGTGTTCCGTTCTAGATCACTAACTGTGCCGGTTCAAGGGACCCTGAATACCGAGAATATTAGGAAAACGAGCAAATCTTCCGCCAATCAAATTCACGGCTCCCAACTTACCCCCTTCAAACTGAGAACGATCGGCTGTGTGCCTGGGATTTCCAGAGGGCCATCAGACGGAATTCCCAAATCCCGGATTACCCCAACACCCGTAACCACCAGTACTACATATCCTCGGGATTCTTTGTCGTTGAAACTAACTTCCCTGTATTTTATTTCTTTCTCCCTTATCACAATCTAATGGTCGTCCCTTGGGTGTCGATAGCCCCCTTCTGGCCCCGAAGGCCATGCTCTGAGTGTCGACAGTACTACGCCTACAAAGCCGCGGGATTTATCCGACGGACCCGATCCGAAGCTGAGTGCCGAGAACACAGCCTCCGACAGAGACAATCAACATCAGATTCTGAGATCTGAGAAGCCGCCGACAACAAGTGTTTACACAGAGAGATACCCATTATGTTCCCTACGTGCACGGTGTACGAACCCGGCTCCGGCGGCAAGGTCGATGACTCTAGTCGACTGGTCCTGAATAAGGCAAAACAAAAAGTCCATCCGTTTGCTGAACCACTTGCACTCTTTTTCTTGAAACTTGGCATCGGAGATCTCAGTTCCGACCTAGGACTCCACCCCCCCATTTTCCAAAAATCCTTGACACACCCCCTCTTACGCACTTCCGGGCCCCCTCCCACTCCGAAAACAGAAAGTCGCGCTGGGCGTGAGGTTGGGCGTCACAGTGTTCTGAGAGTAGTACTCTCAGATCTCATCTTCTGAATCTGCGGTTTCGAATGGATGTCTCAAACAACATCGCTACGAACTTAGGTGCCTTGATTTGATTGCCCTGGTTCTTGCGATCTCATGGTTCTCATCCATTTCATTCTTTTGATTGGTTGTGTTCAGAATAGTATTGACGGGATCTTATCTAGACTGCCTTGATTTCATTGATCTTCTTCGATTGATCTGAATGCTCTGTGTGATGTGATTCGTTTGGAATCACTGTTGCCTCTCATGATTGTAATTTGTGTGACTTGTTCTACCACGGTGTGATTGCAACTACTTCACTTAGAATTAAGGTGGACATCTTGTCGTGCGAGGTATGAGAGTTTTGGCACCAGGCAAGGGCGGGGAGTAACCTCAAATATCCGGCCCGATACTTGACCAATGACCAGTGAGGGGAGAAACAGGGAGTAGGCTGTCAGATACTCTCTCTCTCTCTCTCTCTCTCTCTCTCTCTCTCTCTCTCTCTCTCTCTCTCTCTCTCTCTCTCTCTCTC